TTCTCTCCTCACGCTCAAGCGCAGGAAGCGGTCAGGTGTATTCGTTAATATGTATTTGAAAGAGCTTTTTGTATTCTATCTAACGATGCCCCTCTTTCCCGAGTTATGATCTCTAAAAGCCCTTCACTATCACATTGTCCGAGGACTTATGACTCAACCTAATACAACCAGTTGCCCGACTAGTACTTCTGAAACCAAATACTCCATTATGTTGGGAGGATTACTTGGTTGCTCCGAATGGGCATCCATTCCGGATTCGATCCTCAGACTATGATGGCCACGTCAAGTGTCTCTATCCCTTGTCCTATCTTAAAATATGTTCTTCTTACTATAATTTACTAGCAATTCAGGGAGTCAAGGCTATGAAAATCTATAGGGCGCGGTTAGAAGACGTTGTACTCAATTTTTGATGGGTCGGTCTTTTGGAATGCCTCCACTGAAGATGAAGGCAGGACCTTCTGTGGAAATAGAATTTCGCAAAAAAGGTCACCTTGAAGCTGCTCAGATGCTAATTGATGTTTATTTATATTTCACAATAACTTTATTATTACAGTCTTTATTCACAATAAGGTACATCTGTAACAGAGCAACCGTATAACCTGATTCAAACGAGCAAAGAAATACGAATAAGTGATAATAAAGCCGAATTCAAACATGTAAGTAAGGTTGTCGTCCTTCGCAGTTTATAACCAACGTAGGGTAATCCGGTAGCCCTTCGGGCCTTTCCTGGACGTTCTCGTTCGCAACGTCTACCTCGTTTACTATTTCATCGTAGCTTGGTGGCAGAGATGGTTTCTGGAGGAGTAGAATGCCAAAGAGTAAAAAACATACAGTGAATTTATGTTAGAAGGCTTAAATTTAAAAAATTTTCGAGAGCCACTTACGTCATAATCCTCCTCTGCCTGAGGCCTGGAGGTTTTAGAGAACTCATCTGAAAAAGGAAGCATTACTATCCGGGAGTGGTACTTTCCGTAGGGATTCTGCCTATGCGTTCACATGAGTTAGCATCAAAAAATGAGGACAAACTGACTTATTTTACCGGCTATTACACAAAGTAAAACCTGGTACGTCACCTTATCACCTATTATCTTAAAGGCACAGTTCATGATGAAAATGCCACTTGATATATCCTGCTAAAATAAATTTATAGGACCACCGTATGCTGTATGTGGCACTGTCATACCTGAAAACGGCCTAGATAGGGCGTTATAAAGGCTTACAGGCTATTGTGGATCCTCGGACGAGTTTCACAGGCATCGTAGAGGCTGCACCAATCGCAAGGAAGCCAATGTATGGGGATTAGTCAAATTTTCATGACCCATAGAGACAGTGGAAGGCACTTCTGTACAGTTCTGGTTTGATGAAGCCAGTTCTTTACGCAATTGCAACAACTGTAATCTCGTCCGAATACCCCTTCCATGTTAGTTCCGTCATGGCGATCTCGTACAACCCCTATTATCCCTACCTTTAAAGGCACAGTCCACGATGATTCCGGGTAATCCAGATTATGACGAAAAATGGATGATAACATGGAAGATAGTGAGTGCGCTGAAGGTGAAGGAACGGCGTGTATCGGTGTTTTCAAAGTGAAAAAAGTCATAGAACAATCGCTAAAAAGGGGGCTGGACGAGAATGAGACCAGAAAATGAGGAAGAATGTAGCGTTGGACGAGCTATACAGTGTGTGTCATTGCGTACGTGTGGGTCCTGGTGCTAATAGCTGACTACGGTAAGCAAAAATTCATTCACGCGTAAGCACAAGTTAACAATAAACGCCAGTAAAAGCGAAATAGCCCACCTTTTTCAGCCTTTTGGGTAAAAAATAAATGAAGGATTGCAGCAGCAGAAAGAATTACAGAGAATAAAAGAATGGCAGAAAAACATCGCCTCATTACTCGGTGATCAGCTGACTGTGCGTGTGGGTCCTAGAACAAATTTTGCAATCTGTATCGCCTCGCCACTCGTCTAGGGTGACATCGATCGAGGGGCGGGAAGGCCGGGGAAGCCGGCGACGGGGCTCCCACTATGCCCTAGTTGTTGAGTTTTGGGACTCGACAGCGTCTTTCCCATTACCTTTGGTGGCTACTAGGTATTCCTAGGGGGAGAACTCAAAACTTTTATCGTGAACTATGACTTCAAGGAGGAGCATTTCCCTCGAAACCGGCGAAATTTCTCGCTTTCTTCACTACAGATGAACTATTCCCACCCTACACTTCTTTGAGGTACCACTCTTCGACTAAAAAGGGGTACCTCAAAGTTATCATGAACTGTGCCTTCAAGTAATATTCGGTAAAATTGTTGCGATATGAGTGCAATAATTCGCCCATGCCTAGAGGGGCAAGAAACTGATCCCGAACAGCTTCTCCGTTCGTCTTCAGCATACATGCCAAGTGCACTTGTCGGCAACAATTAGTTCTTTTTTTTGGATCTGAATAGTCCCATTGCGTGATCCTTCAAACCGGTCTTTTGAATCAAATGGGAACTGGTTCAGATTGGAGCGGTGCCCTTCATTAGCGTGTTAGCGTGATGGAAAAAGCACGAGAAAAAGGTGATTCTCCCACTGCAATGTTGACGTATTTCAGATGCTCGTTAGAGACTGTCGACAAATTTCTTCCTATGGAGTTCTTGGAATGATTTCAATGACAAAAACTAAATGCATCGCAGCAATACACCACCGGAACCTGAATTCCATTCACTTGATCGATTCTTGTATCTTCACTGAGTGAAAGAGGGAGATTTCTTCGATCTTCCGCTCACCCACCGCCATCTATTCCCGTCCCCCACCTTCACCTTCTACCCCTCCCCCATCTACAAATTGTTACTGGTAATACTGTGAGTATGAAGGTAATCGTAACCACCTCAGCAGCGTGGATATAACGACAGCACTTCACCAATACGTTTTATGATTGAGAAGGCTTGTTCAAGGGAAAAGAGTTTGCCGAAGTCTTCTCAAAGGGGCATGAAAAAAGTAATTGGAAGCCGCTATTCCTCTTGATCTCTTGCCTCTCATTAATCTACTCGCGTAGTGTTACCGACAAAGACCTCTCGATTACAACGAACAGATTTTTAAAGATCAATTTTTACATCAAAAGAACTTACTAATAACGTGATAGTTCGACTTCTTCCGGCGCAAATAGCACACCACTGTGACAGCCACAGCCGTTAAAGCGATTATCACTAGCACGAAATGCAACTGAAAAGCATAACTCAGAAATTCCCCTCAGAACTCCTCAGAAAAATAATTAAGCTTTCTTTGTCGACTGGTCGCATTGCAATTAGGGATGGACCTATGTACCTGACTTTCGCTTAGAGTCGTAGGTGTGTTAGAATGCGCCAATGAGTTACTCGGGTTAGCCTAGGTGAAAGGCAGTTTTTCTTTCTAGACCAGTCTGCTACGATTTGAGCCCAGAGTACTTTCAAAAAATGAGAAGAGATCCTGGCTTCTGGATTTTCCGACTGGGAATTGTCAATCAGACATGCGTGTGGTAGAGGAGCCAGGAGGAAAATACGCCACAGACGGATGGAACCACCAGAGCCCAGTCACCTCAGAATCGATTAGTTATCGAGCTTGTCTGGGAGAATGAACCTAGACTTCTCATACTTCCTCACCTCTCTTTCCCATTCATCCCATGGCCAAGTAAAAATTCGAAAATTACAAGATGTCTTAAATTTAAGGCACCAAATTTCGAAAATTTCATTTGCAAAAATAGCTTGTTAGTTTCACTTCGTCTACAATCAAGAATCGCAAAACTCGCATGAAGGAATCGTGAGGATATCGTAGAACGTTTTGTGGTTATAAGAGGGACCATACGGATGGCAATTCAATGACTCAGCAAAGCAGAATCAATCAGGGCCAATTTGTGAAGATAGAAAGACCAAGGTTTTCAAAGATAGATCTATTGAAATAGCCTGTTTGCAAGACGTACGTGATAGTAGGTGATGTTCCGGGAGGATGGTAACGAAGGATGAGTATCGAAGTCAAAGTACGTGAGGTTTCCGACTCATTTTAGTGGAGTCTACACTACCTTTTTCTCTGTCAAGAAAATTTTCACGATAGAGTCAACTCTCAGAAAAGGAAACGATCCCCCTTTCTGGAACAGTTTTAAGGCACCTTATTCTATGTATATAGAGCCCATGGTGCATTTGGCAGGAAGTTACTCCAGCCCAGAGCCAAGCTGCCTGTCTGAAGGTGCCAACGCTGGCCGACTTCCTTGGCACTGAGGAGTGTCCATCATGCCTACGCTCTTGGCTTCCCAGTCTGTTTGTTAGGACTCCTTGTTTATCTATGTAGAGGCCTGAAGGAGATTTTTCCAAGCAGCTGATAAGGAGAGACACTTGAAAACACGCTTCGAAACTCTTAACAAATCTGGCAAAAAGTTCGTGCCCTGAAAGATTCCGCCGAGGATACCGTATGCTCTATTTCCCCTTCTGCATCAAATACATGCGGTTAGCTAAGATCTCTATTTCGAGTGTCAGTGGCTGATTTGTCAAGGGAGAACACCGGACTCTTTCTCTGAACCTTTCCCAAAGCTGCTTGAGTACTTGACCGAATGTATGGTCTCGGGGCATTCAATCAGAGTGATTAGTGTTCGAAGAAAATAGTTTGACTTTTCCTGGGAAGCGTGTGGCTAGAAAATGACTGCCGTCAGTATCACCTGCATCAGGAACCGACTGCCCCTCTCAAAATGGTAACATACCGCGCCCGTTCAGCTATAGCATTCCAACAATACATTATGACCATTTCAAAATAAGGAGGTGACCAACAAATCAAAAAATACATGAAACAACAAAAACGATAGTAACGACTCACCAATATGAAAACAATCCAATGGCTGTTATCTGGGGTCCAGAAAGTATAATCGTCATCATGGTAGGCTTCTTCCTCCGAATCTTCCCCACTGTACGGAAGAAACTCCATGACGGGTTCTGTGCGTCGTGGCGGGAGTCTGAGACTGGAAACGAAACACATGATATAGTCGTAAAGGGGTCCAATACCGATGAAAAAGTTGCCCGATTTGCAATAGTGTAAGATCTGGGTGAATGAACAATGACTTTTCTTGGATCAGACAGTTTCCAACAGTAGCTCATTAGTTATCCACCTGTCCAGGGAGCAATCAAAGACGTTCAGAAGTTTCAGAGACAATAGCGCTTACCCGAGCTGGTCCTATTTGATGCAGGTAATGCCTTTAAGGCAAGATTGGGCGAAATGGCTGGAAGCGCCAAGTCCCGCTTGCGTGTCCCACGTAATCGAATCACGACTATACCAAGCAGAACGATAAAAAAGCACCCTGGCAAGTTTCATATCAAGAACTTTTCGCGAAGTTGATTGAAAAAGTGCGATTAGCCACGACTGACGGATGACATCCGCTCTAGCGGTGAATTTAGTCATGGTTGAGATCAGCACAGAACAATACTCCAGCTATAGCACAGAGCCGTTAGTAAAGCTCAGCACGATAATAAATATTAGGTTGTTACATAATTATTGCGGATTTTTCCTCGGCTTCTTTTTCTCGATAGAATTAAACTTTTAAAATTGGGA